AAATATCCAATGAGCTCCAATTGGTTTGATTTCTCGTATATGATCGAATAATCCTTAGTTCTCTATAAATATCAAATAACATAATTGGCAGCTTTCCAAATATCCATACCAGAATTTCTTAAATATCAGTCCAGTATTTCAACAATGAATGGTATATCTGAATGTGTGCAAACTAAGCATGGATTAAACTCCCAACTACTGAAGCAAAGAGAATTTTCTATATTTCATTTTCTTTAAATTTATCCATTGACGAGAAACCTGCTTAAGCCTATAGATGAATTTCTTTAATTTGTACCATCTGACGTAGCTTAAGATCAAAACATGTCATAAAATCTATAATAGTCTTTAAAGAATCTTTCATAGAAACTAGAGAGAAAGTCTCTTTAATGTCAATGCATTCCTTTTGAGTAAAATCATTTGCAACAAGACGAGGTTATATCTCTCCACGTCACCCTTCGAATCTCTCTTGATTTTAAATATCAATTTACAACCAATGAACTTTACACTTTCAGGCAATGAGATAAATTCACAAACGTCATTGTCTCTCATGAACTTTATCTCTTTATTCATGATATCAATCCACTAGAATTATTCCTTTGCATGTCGTAGACTCTTAATGAAAGTTGATTAATCAAATCTTATTCTATTAGTCCAATGTCATCATTATTTTTTTGGAGAAAGACTATAAAGTCATCCGAAATTACATTTTTCTTTTCTCTAATGTATTTTCTTAACGACATTTATTATTGAGGTTGTTGAGTCTGTTTTTTCTAGAACAATTTTTTGATTGTGTATATGAAATTTTCTAGCATAGTGTACCGTAGGATGATCTCATGTTCATCTAGAAATTTTAGCAAAAGGCCGTGGACATTGTTCTTCTGATCCATCATACCGTCATAGTATTCACTACCACGACCGATCTAATGTGCTTTATTCTTTTACTGAGTTGATTTTCAACATCAACCATTTATGCCTTAAACATGTCAAGTGATTGTGATTTTTCATAAATGAGTTATAGGAAGCCATTGTGAGAAAATATTGTCTATGAACATAATAATTGACTGAATGAGTTCATAAAGAGTCCACTTCCCATTTTGACAATTGAACTGACCTTAAATTGAAGAAATGTGCAGGAATAGAAATCAAAGACCAAATGCACGAGCAAATCATTAGAGAGCTCAAACTTTAATGCCTTTAATTTTGAAGTAAGATGAGACATTTTCATGATGTACTCTCGTATATTTTCTTTAGCCTTATAATTTAGTGAAACCAAATTTGCCAGAAACATACTAGTTTAGATCTTATCGCCTTTTACAAAGTGATTTTTTCAATTTCTTTAAGAAATTCATTGGCATTAGTTACATTATAGAACACAGTGTCCCTAAATGTTGCTAAAATTTCACGCTTCATGATTATAAGATTTTTGCAGTTTGAACGATCTCATTTATCCGAGTTCCTTTTTATTAGCGAAACTTTTATTCATAAGAGTAGTGGATTGTTTAGTCCTAAACGCAATGTTTAGATCCATGCTGCCAAGAACGATACAAATGTTTCCTTTCCAACCCTTAAACTTTGGTTCAAGCACATAAATTAAATTGATGTTGGTAGACATTGTAGAAGTGAATGGATTAACTGAATAGAAAACTTAAACCTTATCAACATGTTCACATGAAAATCCGTATTGAGCAATTAATAAATTCAAATAATGGTGGACTCCATCACAAAAGATCGGACAGAATATTGATATTTAGTTTTTGGATAAAAATATCAACTTGTAAGTGGTTTCTTGGTGTAGTAATCAACTATTGATAATAAATCATATCGAACAATAAGTCTATCTTTGGATCGACTCAATGTTCACATTAAAAAATACTTTTATAATTATGTCATATTTATTACCATGGGCGTGCAAATAATTCGATCAAATATTGACATTCCTTTAAATCGATCAATACTTACATAATTACATACACACAACCTTTCTAATATTCCAAATAAATTAATTTAGACAAGAGATGTTACTTGGTAATGTGTTGCTTCAGTTAATCTATTTTAGAAAATTAATAATTTCAAAAAAACTTTAGTACCAAAATTTGAATTTGATTACCCTATTTTCTTTTCTTAAAAAAAAAAAAAAACGTTGACATTGCAGCACTACCTTTACTGCCAAGCAACCACGCTACTATTTTGATTTTGAATAATGTTATTCATATCCATTGAGATTGAGCCACAGTTTATATGACAATTACATGACATTAAATGATAAATTCAATTAAATGAGTCATATGATTTTGTATTTAAATGAATCTATCATTTAATACAATGTAATTGTCACATAAACTGGAGCTAAACTCCAGTGAGGATGAATAGCATTACTCTTTGATTTTTATTCACTCCGGCCAATGCTTAATTCATTGCAGCCGTAAATTGATCCATTGATTAATCAATCAAAAAAGGCAAAACAGAAGTGACAACCGTCGCAGGGTAATGCATAACATCTAATTGCTAATTAAATTTGAAATTGTAACTCCAACCCCTTCTTTCTTCTCACAAAATAAATTACTATCATGCTATGTTTTTCCCTGCATAAACTTTATCCAAAATTACAAAACTTGATCCAAAATAAAAATCCCAAAAATTCTTAATTTCGAATTTTAGGGCAAAAATTCGCATCCTTAAATTTTAAAACACAAGGTATGAATTTCAACCCAAAAATTCTTTCTTTATTCTCAATAGTTTAACATGGAGTTAGTTCTGATATCACTTATTAGAATTTTATAAAACTTTAAATTTTAAGAATGTGAAAACTTAATAATTTTATTGTCAAAATTTTCCATGTTCAATCATCAAGATCTAATTATTTACGCCTAATATAGATCTGGGAATATTCTTTGATTCCAAATCTTGAATCTTGATTATTAACTCTTTTGATTCTTGAGTTTTTTTTTATCTTGATTTTAACTTTTTGCTTCATAATCTTGATTGTCTCAATTCATTCTCCTTGATGCTTGACTGTAGATTGTCTGTTCTTGATTGTGGGGGTTTTGAATTTTCCTCTTTAATATACTCTCTTAATTGTTCGTGTTAATGAGAGGCACAAAAAATGAGAAATTACTTATGAATTGAGAAATGAGAATCATAACCATATATATCAGTTTTCACGTATATTGGCATATCGTTAAATACAACTCTAATGGATCTAGTTTCTACACATATAATCCGTCTCATTAATTTATGTAGACAATAAGGTTTTTTCATTGTCTACACTTAATCTCATCAAGAAAAGAGTCCCGTTCTAATACGGTACACTAAACATATCCCGTATTGTTAATCTGCAGATTTTCATCACACAAGCGGTGTTCTTGATGAGTAAAGGCGAAAAGAAAGAAGACATGAAGAAGGAATTGATTGGTTAACTGAAACTACTGGATGATGCCTTGGGTGAAAAACTGTATTTTGGAGGTGACAAATTTGGATACTTGGATGTGGTCTTTATGTTGGAATTAATTGATAAAGTGTTAAATAATTAAACGTGATATTTAATTATGTGGGTCGTGGTAATTAATTTGGGTGAATTGGAAAAGTCTCCAATATAGGCCCATAAGTTGATAAGCCCAATTTTAAGTGTCTTATATATGATAAGGAATCCCACATCGAAAGTTTACAAGAAAAAAGACTTGTTTATATAGTGGGATTGATTAATAAATGCGGATTATATCTATTGGGAATATTCTTTGATTCCAAATCTTGAATCTTGATTATTAACTCTTTTGATTCTTGAGTTTTTTATCTTGATTTTAACTTTTTGCTTCATAATCTTGATTGTCTCAATTCATTCTCCTTGATGCTTGATTGTAGATTGTCTGTTCTTGATTGTGGGGGTTTTGAATTTTCCTCTTTAATATACTCTCTTAATTGTTCGTGTTAATGAGAGGCACAAAAAATGAGAAATTACATATGAATTAAGAAATGAGAATCATAACCATATATATAAGTTTTCACGTATATTGGCATATCGTCAAATACAACTCTAATGGATCTAGTTTCTACACATATAATCCGTCTCATTAATTTATGTAGACAATAAGGTTTTTTCATTGTCTACACTTAATCTCATCAAGAAAAGAGTCCCGTTCTAATACGGTGCACTAAACATATCCCGTATTGTTAATCTGCAGATTTTCATCACACAAGCGGTGTTCTTGATGAGCAAAGGCGAAAAGAAAGAAGACATGAAGAAGGAATTGATTGGTTAACTGAAACTACTGGATGACGACGCCTTGGGTGAAAAACTGTATTTTGGAGGTGACAAATTTGGATACTTGGATGTGGTCTTTATTCCCTTTTCAACCATGTTTAGAGGATATGAAAGTCATGGAAAGCTTCAAATTGGAGGGCCAAAAATTATCATGTTGGGTTAAAAGATGTTTGGCAAGAGAGAGTGTTTCCAAGGTTCTTCCTGATTTTCATCAGATGTACAAAATACACAAGAAATGGTATGGTGTTGAATAGATCCATGAAAATATAAGGATACAGATTTTCAAAAACTCCATCATAGCTAAAAATATTTCTTGTTTATGCTTTAGTTTAATAATTATATGTCAGCTTATTTTACGTCGATTTCATCTCAATTCTCACTAGTAAAGAACCCGCAACAGACAACAGTCAAAAACAGGGAAAACATTACTGCTCAGAACCAACTTGATTGAAGTTGGGTCTAATATGGATATATAAAAAGTATTAGCATTCTCATCTTTAAAACATCTCGGGCACACAGCACCAATCTAATGCCCAAATGGCACATGAACTACTTCATCTCGGATAAGACTACCATCTTCTTCTAATAAAGGGAAGAAATTAAGAAGAGAGCATGGATCAACTGTAAACAGGACGGTTTTCAAGCGAGGCCTGGTGCTTTTATCCAGTATATTGTCCTCCTGGAAAACCAGTTTGTGAGCAAGCAAATTGAAAAGGAGATCACCTATGAGGACAAGATGCTGTCAGTATCTGTCGGTATAAGGTGTTCCATAGACAATCAGGTAAGGTATAATGCGGACAATTGTGTCAATTGGTATTGCAAAGTTCACCCCAGATGACATCCCAGTACCTGCATTTAGGTTCAAAATCAAATACATTTTAATTTGATCAAGTATAAGTTCGATTCCATTATCTGCTTGCTTGATGTCTACATAAAATGGCCTATAATGTGCTTTACCTTTGCGAGTGAACGTGGCTGTATTAATTCCAATAACATGACCATAGGAATCAATCAATGGTCCACCTGAATTACCTGCACTAAATAACTTCGCATCAAAACTGAAAAAAATTGTACGTTGTGAGATGAGAAATGCCTGTTGGTCTGAACAATAGAAGATCAGTATTCGTGAAAAAAAAAAAAAACCCCCACTAAAAACGCCAAATATTCACAAAAATCGACAATTACCTGCATTAATAGCAGCATCTGTTTGAATAGCTTCTCGAATGGATTTTCCATTTGGTGAGGGGATCTCCCTGCCCAATCCACTTATAACCTGTGATAGTTGAACTACGTGAAATCAAGAATAGCATAAATAGATAAATAACGTAAATTTTCTACTTTCCCTTTCCGATGTTCCCAAAAGAAACTAGGAGTGGATGCAAAAATAAACTTTCACGAACATTAAATATAAATAAAGATCACATTTCTAAAACATTTTACCCCCGTCGTTAAAGTGTTCTCATATCCATATGGATTTCCAATGGCAAAGCATCTTTGACCCACGTGTAAATCACGAGATGTACCAAGAGTAACTGGCTTCAGTTCATTTCCTTTGAGATCAACCTGCGGAATTGAGGGAGAAGAGAACGAATATATTACTAAGTGAAATATTTAGTGCATGTTTGGTACGCAGTATTAGACAGATCCAAGAGTATAAAGAAAAAGATTTTTCACTTCCTTTTCTCCTTAAATCTATCCGGTGCTATCCATTCCGCCTACCAAACCTACCATTAATATCATCTAGGCCGTGCTAAGGAATTTTTCCTATTAAAATGGTCATCCCGAAACAAAGACCTGGTGGTGCCAAACTATGAATCCACATAATGGGTTATTGGGAGCTAAAATGTACATGCTGAGGATGATTACACACTGTGCCAACACAAATGTTAAAGCCCATAAAGGTTTCCAGGATATATTGAATTTTGGTCACAGTCAGCACTTGGCACCTTAAGGACTGCCAAATCATAGTCTGGATCAAATCCAACAATCTTGCCTTCTCTAATAATGCTGTTGCCGCTTGCGTCAACCAAAGATACCTGAACAAGGACACGAAGAAAACTTCTAGTCCACATGCAGTCAAGTGTATGTAGATTAAAGCAACACGGACACAAGACTAAAATAGTGAAGAAACAAGAAAGCATAAACAGAACCTTACAAAGTTGTAATCCACTTCTGTCTGTAGCCAATTTAGCAACTACATGATAGTTCGTCACCTGTCAAAATGCAACAATTTGTTTAGGACATACTGATGACTTCTATGTTTTGGGAAGCGAAGGCACGTGCCTATTAGAACTTAAAGTGACTAGAAAAAAGGTGGGAAAAACCTACAATGTGACCAAACTTATCCCAGATGAAACCTGAACCTGTCCCTTCCACTTTTACATTCTCATCCTCAGGTAGCACAGTTTCAGAAGTACTCTTGGGGATTTTAGCTAATTCAAGGTCTTTAATGAATACAACAGAAGATGAAGTTCCCTACAAATTAGTCATAAAATTTGTGAGTATAAGAACTATTTTAAGTAATCATGACAAAAGTATCTGCTTGAGAATGAGATTCCAGTTGAGTTCATATTAGGTGGCATGGGAAAGTAACTCATACCCGTTGTTACACTAATTTTAAATTTACATTGGAAACTGGAAGGGAATGGGAAAATTCTTATAAACAGCAACTCAGAATTATGCAAAAATAATTTCTTAGCATACACAAAATTAGCTTGGCTAAAGTATACTCTTCAAGAACAGATATTGATCTGGGAACGTTTTGTTCTGGACATTGTGTAGATGCTGGAGGAGATTTCTTTGCAGGCTGCAATGTGGATTACCATTTTCATGGGCACTTAAACCAGAATAACATTTGAAAAACTTAGTAAAATTTGAAATGCTTCAAAGGTAAAATCGTATGGTTTTTCCATTTTCAGAATAGCATACATTATGAAACAAGGCAAAGAGCTCCTTATTTCCAGCATTTTCTATCCTTGAAAATAACAAGCATATAAATCTCAATCCTTCAGCTACTATGACAGCAGGACGAAGAATAAGAAGCCAGGCCTATCCTTAAAATTTAAATAAAATCGAAGAAAGTAAAAGACGTTTACATGCAAAGGCCAAAAGTAGCCACATTATTAAAATATTCTGCAATTTTGCACCATTACTTTCTGCTTATACAGCTTAGTATCTAAGAGTTTAGTCATCATATTCATCAAATATATTCTATTCAATATGCACTGCAATCAAAAGGAATATTCAGAAACACCTTAAGAGTGGATGCATATTGGGTTTTCAGTTTAATGAAGATAGATCTTTTATAATTTTATACCAAATGATCCAAATCCATCTACAAGTTTACTTCATTAAGAGGACAATCATAACAATTAAGAAACAGAAACTGAACAACTCGACTATGATGTAATTGAACTATCCCAGGTCTCAGTAATGTTATAATATAATTCAAATATATTTGACTAATAATTTTGGGACCTGGAAGATTTGAACGGCCCGATCTTCTTCTTGCTGAAGTTCATCCACTGGTTGGGCAATGGCAGAGGGAAAACCAGAAATATCTGAATTTTGACAAAATTGGAAGTAAAAGGCAGCAATAGAAGAAGTAAAGGTCAAGGCTTTACGCCTTGTTAAAAGATGGGCGTTTTTTGAATTTGAAGGTGGGATTTGATTGGGTTGAATTGGAGATAGCATACACTGTAGAGAACCCAAAACCTCCATGAATGACCACCTCTCTATATCTATCTTTTTTTTTTTTCTGAAAGAAATTAAAAAGATATAGGATAAATAAGTTTGGGCCACTTGCCACAAAGTGTCTCTACAAAAATTAAAATCTTAAGTGCATGGTCGAGTTGTAATTTCATGTAACTATTGATATAAAAAATAATTTTTATCAGTATTGTCGGAATTAATCCCTTCCTTCTTCTATCGATGCCATGGCCACTACCATATTTCCATTCTAATCTTGTTTTGCCGTTTCAAAGAATTCTCTTCTTCATTCAACTTATTCTCTCGCCGGTAAAAAGGGGACCAATTGACAATAAACCCCAAAAATCATTCAGAAGTGTCGTCTCCGGAACCCAAAAATCAATCTCCTCTGCCATTCCCTCCACAAATTTGTGATTGAAGGTATGAATATGCAATTTAATCCCTCCACATATCATTTAATGTAATCGTCTCTCTCTAAGTTCTTCTTTATTTTTGTCTCTGTCGTAAATTTCTTCTTCATTTTATTCTGTAATTTCAGTGTTCTCAAGATCAAGAATCTACACTTCTACCCTATCTTATCAGATCCAAATTCAATTTGGACTAGCCTTTAGGTTTTCAAGATGTTTTTGTAAATGTTGACTCTGATTATTAAAATTTGGTAAATTTATGGGATTTGAATTGAGTTTGTGATCTTTAACTTAAATTGATCAATTTGTGAGGAGCATAAGAGATCCAGAGAGGGTTCATTAGTGTTGATGAGAATCTTGGCAATATTCACAATGTTTTAGTTTTTCTCATAGGTACTAAATGAGAATGGCAATTCTAAACTTTCATCAGTCTTACTAAGAACTTGCACAATTTTTGTTTGCTAAACTTTACTTCCAACGATATTAACTGATTAAAACATTAGACATTATCAGATTTTTACATCACCACAGAAACCAAGACTTAGCCTGATTTAGCTAAAAATCAGATTTTTAATAGATTTTAATAAAAGAAGAAAAGCTTGGTTAAAAATTTGTGGATAGTATAAAATATGCTATTGAAAATGAGCCTTGAGAAAAATACGAGTTTTAGAAAATGAGTGTGGTAAAAGCCAACTTTTAAGTTGTTCAGTCCATATTAATCACATTCTTTTTGTTTCAGGATCTCAAGAACAGGCATCAAATTTATTCAGCTGCTGCAGAGTATTGTTAGGAGCCATAGCTTCACAGTAAGAATTTGTTGAGCTGCTGCCACCATTATCTAATGCTAATTTATTTGCATATTTGTCTCTTACTCAATGATCACTATTTTGGGATGTATATACAGACAATATGTTGGATGAAGAACAGAGTTCTCTACAAATGACAAGATTAGAATGAAAATATGATGGTGGAGGGGTGGCCGTGGCAACTGGAAACAGGGAGGAGAGGGGTGGTCGTGGTGGAAGGGGGTCAGGCAGGGGTAGGTGGGGTTGATTGGAGAAGAAAATGATTTTTTTTTTTAATTAATTTTTTAATTTTTTTTAATTGTTTTAGTTGGAAATCGTCTGTACTTTTGAAAAGAATTGGGACTTTGGCTACAATTATTTCTTTTTGTCTATTTAAAGATGAGAGAAAATACATGACTTTACAAGGCATTAATGGAGGAAATGAATGACATAGATAATCTGCACAATATTTGCTTGATTGGAGGGTAAAACGTGTCAAATAAAAATGATAGGGACGTTTGTGACAATTATACAAAAATAAATAAAGGCTCTTACTAACTTAACACCAGTGTTCTAAAAAGCCTGTTTGGAACTTTCGGCACTAGACTTGGACGACATGTCACGTTTTAGCAATGAGGCCTAACGTCGCTTTATTTTTTTGTGGAAATTACACGAAATCCTACTTTTTAATTTCCATTTTGAAAAATAAGATTTAAAAGATTTTTATAAAAATTAGATGATAATTAAAAAACTTTAATAATAATTGATTTTATAAATTTAAATTAATATGCATCCCCATCCCTAACCCTAATCCTTTTTATTCACATTCTCTCTTTTCTCTCTATAGGAAAGGAGATCATTGTCACTACCTCTCTATCACAAACACCGGAAGGGAGACCATCGTCGCTGCGCGATGAGGCCAATGCGGTGACCTGAACAACGCTGAGTCGACGACGCTCACGCCACTACAACGCAGCAATCGCTGCTCAATGTTGTAGCACTCGTCGCTGCTGCAGTGCAGCGATGACACTACGTCGCAGAGTAGCTTCGCTATGCTCCAGCGATCGCTGCTCAATGTTGTAGCACCTGTCGCTGCTGCAACGCCACAATAATGCTACGTCGCAGAGCAGCTTTGCCCCTGCCGCTATTGCAGTTCGGTGATAATGGTGGTTGGTGTAGGTAGTGGTAGATTTGGCTACAACGGTGAGGTGGTTTTGGTTTTGGATGTTGGAGTGGTGATGGTGGTGGGGGTGGTGGTCTTCCATATTCTTTTTTAGCAATATATTCTTCCAAAAATTACTAGTCATCTCTTTGTATAATGTAGAATAATGGGTGCCAAACAGGTTCAAAAACTTGTCTCGAATAGAAGACCTTAGCATGAGGTTGGCAATATACCATATTAGAGAGCGTGGGGTCAATAGTCTTTTTTCTATATCTCAGTGAATTAGACCATGAATCGAAGACATTAGCATGAGATTGGCAATATACCATATCAAAGTGCGCGTTCAATATGCTTTTCTCTATATCCCTATGAATTAGACGGGCTGGCTTTCCATGTCTGTTGATTGCACATAGCTTAGATATGCTGAAATAGAGGTTAGCTTAAATCAGCTAGTAAGGTTTTGCACGTTTTATGGAATTAAAACACATGCTCCACAAGATATATTATGGACTACGAACAAGAAAGGAGGATAGCAAGTCGGTAGGCCTGCCCTCAGTCCTTATAGAAAAAGATAATATTAATCAAAATTAAAATTTCAAGAAAATGATTACCAGATTAGCAAATTAAACAATGGATTAAGGGCAGAAGCGGTGGGACCCCGGTTGTGAATCTTTCTCGGGTTGTCGGCATCATGTGAGCTACAGAGAACAGACTACAGAGCAATGTCTGGTCATCTTACAGCATAGTTTTAATACCAAATTTGACTGTCATGACAATAATATCTTTATTTCATGGTATCTGTTCCTACTGCAAGAATCTCATCCCTTTGCATGCTACCCTACAACATCACACTCAAAACTTGCAAATGTGGTAAACAAACTTGCCACCTTAGGGTTTCCATAACTTCCCATGCAGCCTTAGTACTGACACATAAAACTCCTTTATACATGCCAAAAAAATACATAATTATTATAAATTTTGTACACCTTTCAGGTTTACATGAAGAGAATGTGTTCTTTTGAGTTTTGAGCGAGGGTATTTGTTATTATGCTCATCTAGAAATGGCTTCTTCTATGTCCCTTTTTCTTTTAGGGTTTCTTGTGTTTCTTGGTGGAGGCGGCTGTGTTGATATGGCGGTGATGGAACAGGAGGAGTTATTTGGTCTGTTTGAGGTTATGGGTTCACTTTTGGAAGATCCCACTTGGGCCCAAATGCACCCTCTACCTTGCACTGACACTCCATGGCCTGGGGTTGAGTGTGAGGTTGGTCAAGAAACTCAAACTCCAATCTTTCACGTCACAAAGATTCATGTTGGCCATGATATTCTTACCCCACCTTGCAAATCTTCTGCTCAAATTTCACTATCTTTGTTGAAATTACCTTACCTCAAAACACTTTCTCTGATGAACTGTTTCAGCAAATCACCTGTTTTTTTGAGCAAAACACTCTTTGGTTTACTGCCCTCTTTGGAGAATTTAGTTCTAGAGTCAAATCCAAGCCTTTCTGGAGAGATCCCTTCAACTTTATCAAACATTACAAGTTTGAAAGTTTTATGCTTGTCACAGAACAATCTGAATGGAGAAATTCCCAAGGAAATAGGAGGGCTTGTTAATTTGGAGCAAATTGATATAAGTTACAACAACTTGATTGGATCAATCCCAGAAGAAATTGAAGGGTTGAAAAGTTTGTCCATTTTGGATCTCAGCTGGAATTCTTTACAAGGAATGGTGCCTCATTCACTGGGAAATCTGCAGTTTCTTGAAAAGATTGACTTAAGCTGGAACAGACTTCAAGGAAGAATACCTCCAGAGTTAGGGAAATTAAAGAGGTTAGTCTTATTGGATTTGAGTCATAACTCCTTGGAAGGGCCAATCCCTGAAAATCTATCAGGTTTGCATCAATTACAGTACTTAATAATGGAGGACAACCCAATAAATACTTGGATACCTTCATTTATTGGGGCACTAATGGAGCTCACAGTATTAAGTTTCTCAGGCTGTGGTTTAACAGGGAGAATCCCAAGTACAATTTCCAGCTTGCAAAATTTAACTGCATTGTCCCTCGATAATAACAGGCTCAGGGGCACAGTCCCTCAGGAGTTAGGGACACTGCCAAATATAAATACACTGAATTTGAGCCAGAATCAGCTATCTGGGGAACTATTATTTCCTGAAGAGTTTTTCATTAGACTTGACCAAAGGTTAGATACAAGAGGAAACAAAGGATTATGCATAAATCAGCAGCCTCAAAGCAAGAAAAGCAATACGAGATTTAAGCAAATCCCTCCTTGTCTGATCACGAGAGCTCCTGCCAGTAACAAAACTTTGTCTCAAGCTCATCCGGACGATGATTCTCAAAAGATGAAGCCAACAGTACTGCACGATGGTAATTTGAGTTCAAACACTGATGGGCTACATCAAAACTTAGTCTTTTCGGGTCTAATATTCCTGTTTTCTTGTTGGGCTCGTGACTTTCCTGCGTACTTTTTTTGTTTTGATATTTAGAAATTGATTGATTCCTGGAATTAGTGTTACCATTCAAGTTTGTGTAATGAAAGTTGAAGTCATGAGTGAATAGATAAGATTAACCTTCACTTTTTCAATGTTCTGCTGATATTGTCGAGTCCCATCCCATCAGGGATTGTTGCTTTCTTTAGCA